CAGAAGAGACTTCTTTCAAAAACATTAAAAAATCTTACTGACCCCAAACTTTTGAATGCTAGTGTAAATTTGTCTGTACATGAATTGCTTTGGAAAAATAGTTTTTTTTATTAAACAAATGTTGATTTGGTCAAAATAGTGAAAGAAAAGCACATATAAGAGAGTTTTCTCACACACATATTCGAGCCGTTCATGCCAGACTGGGGAGAGAGGTGTTGTAATAATGTAAAATATGTGAAAAATAATGTGTTTTTCGAACAGCCTAGTATGAGAGCCTGTTCTAGTACACCCCAAAACAAAATCAAGACTTTGTAAAAAAACAGAATAGGACCCCTTTAAGGGATCGTTCACCCAAAACTGAAAATTTTGTCATTATTTATTCACCCTCAAGTTGTTCCAAACCTGTATGAGTTTCTTTCTTTTCTAGGCACAAAATAATATATTTTGAAGAATGCTGAAAACCAAACAGTTGTTGGTAGCCATTCACTTCCATAGTATAGGATAAAATACTATGGAAGTCAATGGCTACCGGCAGCTGTTTGGTTTTCAGCATTCTTCAAAATATCTTCTTTTGTGTTAAAGAGAAGAAAGAAACTCATTTACTCAGCCTCATGTATTTACTCTCCTGTATGACTTTCTTTCTCCGACCTGTGAAACACAAAAGAAGATATGTAACAAATGTCGGAGCTGCGGTTTTCTATATAATGAATGGTTTGTTTAGCATCACACGCAGAGTGTAATGTGTGTTTGTGTGTGATTTCTCTCTTAGCTCGGTTCGTCTTGCTGTGGATGGACATCGGTCTGTCATCAGATTTCCTGCATGTCCTCGTGAACTTGGTCAAATTCAACTCCTGCTACCTGGATGAGAACGTCTCCCTCATGGTCCAGTAAGAAAACACACGCAAATGATCTTACGCTTCTCATTACCTTTTGAAAGCTTCTGCTTAAATGCTTGAACTTTGACTTGTAGACTGACATATATATATATATATATATATATA